CGGTAGCTACTCGTCAACGGCGACGCTGATACTCAGCACGTCGCGCTTTCCTGCGTTCGTCTTCGTCCATATGAGAGAAGAGAATGTGTGGTATGGAACGTGGTTATATATATAGCGTTGACAGCAGCGCCATCACATCTACAATTAACCACAGCGCCCTCTCTTGCTTATAAGTTGAAGGGTATACATGAAAAATGGTTCAGAAATGGCAGACAGATGAAGGCGTGTTACGGACAGCCGAGAGACGGCGGACATCGTGAGGTCTTAAGGAGCTTCACCCCTAAAACAAGTAGTGTTATAAGAATTTGTCACGCGCTTTAAACGCTTTCTTTATTTTATTGCACGTACGAGCACGCTGGAAGCTATACACAACGAGGAATGCACGCGGGAAAGAAGTTACGTCAGCGCGCATCATCGCCTTGTGCACGCGTGATGAAACGCGATCGTCCTCCAGCGTTGCGGCTGACGCCTTAGACATGATGCAGAGCAGCAGCACACCCACTTGCTCCTGCATGTGGAAGAGGCAGCGTTGAACCCCTACTTCTGGATATCTTCAATCGCCCTTGTCGACGACTGGAACCACCCCAGCACCCAATACAACTAGCCCCCGACTACAGTACACGGAAGATTTTTGGTGAGCGAGCTTTTCCTGACACAGGTGATAGAGACGCTAACCGCAACGACGAACTCTCACTGCTCGCGCCGCCCGACGCTGGCGTGGCGGCTGCCTCAACAGCTGCTCCTCGACGCGACGCCGGTGCCACCCAACTCCATCTGACTCGCCCGCGTTGAGCCCTACCTTCAGAAATCGCAGCAGTGTTAACCATGGAAGTGGTCAAAGTCGAAGGAACTGAGATCGCCCCTGAAGACGCCACCCTCAAAGCCGGATGGATCTCTAGCCACCGAAACAGGCAACGCAAGCATGCCTCGAACGCTTCGGCATCGCCAACTGGCCAGGGAAGCGCGTCCGATACCCCAATGCTGAACGGATCTGCCCAGCGTCTCCCTCGCAAACCCAGGCAACCGCGTCTGCCAGATGATCACGTAAAAGTTGTGATTTGCTCGAGGGACGGACTCAATCTCTCCAAAGGGGGGGAAGCACAACTGCGCGATGCTATTCTACGTGAAGTGGATCTGCACGCAACGCTACTCAAAGAGGACATTTACCGCACATGCGTTGAAGCTAATCTCATCGTAGTAAGCACACCTTATCTATCCAACGCAGAAATCTACAGTCCGATCTCCAAACTACAGGTGGAAACTGAAACCTATGACGTTCGGGCCTACGTTACCTCCCCTGAGAACACAGCAAAAGGAGTAATCCACAATATTCCCCCTTGCGACTCTCCTGAAGACATCTCAGCAAGTCTTGTTAATGACCGCAACCCCACGATACTACAAGCTCGCCGAATGGGAAAGATAAACACGGTACTCATTGTATTCGATGGCGACCAAGTCCCTTTCCATGTCTACTATCGAGGAGCCGAATACAAATGTTACCTACATAAGAAGCGCACCGAAGTCTGCGACAAATGCGGGACAGTCGGCCAGCGCTCGGATGTCTGCCCAAAACCAAATGCCGTAATCTGCACGCTGTGTGGCACAGCCAACCCTGCTACTTCTCATCCATGCACCCTTAAGTGTCTTCTGTGCAGCCAAGCCCACCAGACAGGTGACAAAACCTGTCCTCAACGCCACCAGACACCTCGCCTTCTCATTTATCGTCGCCAAGAAAAAGCTAAGCTCCAACAACAACAGTACCTCTCAACCATGATTTCCACGCAAGATGCTCATCCGGAACGCCAAAAGGTCAAGCCTAGCGACACCCCGCTTCCTCAGTACCAGTCCAACCTCGAAGCGTTGTGGCTCACGCAGCCGATCAAAGCAGCGACGCAAGAATCAGCCCCAGGAGCTCCGATTGGGATCTGCGGCACCCGAGGCTTCAGATGGTACCCCACCTTCGGCAGCGGCAACCCAGTCTCACCCTCGCCACCCCTACGGTAAGCTGGGCTAGCATTTCCTCCCAACCTGCTCCTATACATAATACAGCACCTACAAGTACACACACGACCACACCTAATAAGGAAACCATGTTAAGTACTATCACACCGGAGCTGCGTTCACTCCGTACGTTAGTACAAGAACTTCGCGTTGAAAACGCTGCTCTTCGGAAACAACTTGCCCAGCAACCTCCGTCCTTTCCTTTGATTCACTCTGCTGACCTCCACGCCAATACCACCCGCACCCCCCTACCCCTTAAACGAAGGGCTTATGACACAGAAGAACCAGCCACACCATCGTCGCAACCACCTACCGCCTAAGCACCCATTTTGCCTGTAGAATCTGTACCGCAGCAGCAACTCCACGAGACGATTCAAACCGTACTTGAACGGCAGTTACCGATAATGCTTGAACAGACCATCGTGCAGACGCTAGAGCGATCCCTCGATTCAATCCTCACAGCAAAGTTAGAGCACCAACTCACCTTAATGCTCGACAGAAAGCTGGAAGTCCGAGCGACAGTTATCCAGAACAACCTTGAAGCCACACTTTCGAGTCTTCTTGCCAGCTACAATAGCAGAGTCACGGAGCTTGAGCGGTGTACACATCGCTCTCGCTCACACTCGCATCAGAAGCCTTATGGCCACATTAACCAAGATGGCCGTGAGTAATCCACACACTCAGTACAGCATCTGGCAGTGGAACTGCCGTAGCTACCGCCGTAAGAGGAGCGTGCTACAACAATTTCTATCCACACTCAAAGAAACAGATACACCAGATATTATTGCTTTACAGGAATCAGGCGGACAGGCTAAGATGGTCGGATACGCCTCCTTTACGGCTACTCAAGCCCCTGACAGTCGCGAAGTCCTTACCACCCTCGTGAAACGAAATATCCCTGTAATTCAACACCCCTAGCTCTCTGATACAGTGCCACACATTATATTGGAAATCCTCTCTTCATCTCGCCGGACGTCCACCAGTATGTTCTTGGTCAATGTTTACAGCAGCCCACGACAACCACATCGCTTTCACAAGCTCCTATCTTATGTCAAGAAGTTGGAATGAATTTCCCCCCTCCTCGTGGTAGGGGATTTTAACGCTCCCTCACCCGCCCTGGGGCTACATTCACGACACCAGAAAAGGGCGAATGCTGTGGCAAGACACCCACAATCTTAGCTACACCCTTATTACAGACCCGGCGTACCCTACGCGGTTGGGCAACAGCGTTGCCAGAGACACCACTCCTGACCTTACTTTCACTGCGAACATTACGCATGCAGAGTGGTCCAACCTTCGTGAACATCTAGGCAGCGACCACTACATAATAAAAACGATCATCAAGGCTGGCCCGCAGTGCAGGAAATTCAAACAGCTTGCCCTCGTTGACTGGGATGTCTTCCGCGAATTGCGGGCAACGGCCTCTCCAGAATCTGCCCCCTCGATCGACCAATGGACAGCTTCCTTACTACGAGACGTTAAGCGTGCTACCAATACTCCCCCAGAAGACGCCGGAGGCGACACGGTAGACACCAAGCTGCTGCACATGTGGGAGGCCCTCGCTGGTCTGCGCAAGCGCTATAACTCCAACAAATTGAACCGCTCATTACGCAAACGCATTGCTATATTAATGCGTCAAATTGAAGATTACGCTTTTCAACTCTCCCGCCAGAACTGGCATCAGCTTTGTAACGTTATGGAACGCTTACCTAACGTGTCCAAAACGTGGAATATTCTACGTAGTATGATAGAACCAACATCGACAAAAACTGCTCAGCGCCACTCCTTAATCACCGCTCTGCACAATTATCCAGGTACCAATGAAGACCTTATCTAAGACCTATCTAGTCTGTACATTGTCAGTGCTACTCCGGTTGATCTTCCATGCTACAATGGGGTGGATAATCCAGCCCTCGATTCCCAGATTACAAAAGCGGAAGTGAGGTCCGCAGTTTCACAACTGAGACCCCAATCAGCGCCTGGCCCGGATAAAATTACAAATAAAATCTTACGAAATCTTGACGAAGAATCACTTGAAACGCTCACATCTTATCTGCAAATGGTTTGGAAGTCGGGAGAAATACCAACAACATGGAAAACCGCCACAGTCATTCTGATACCTAAACCAGGAAAACCACTCACTATCGAGAACCTTCGGCCAATATCTCTCACATCCTGTGTCGGCAAGGTACTCGAGCATGTTATTCACCCTCGACTACAAAGGTGCATGGAAGAACATGCCCTCTACCCGCATACAATGCTCGGATTCCGCCCTAAACTTTCGACACAAGACGTAATGCTGCAACTGAAGAGTCACATTATCGACGGTGAAGACGGCTCTCGGTATGGGACGCGTGCTATTCTGGGGCTAGACCTTACCAAGGCATTTGACAATGTGCTACAATCATCCATCCTAGCCGCCCTCGCCACGCTCAACGTAGGCGCCCGTACCTACCGCTACATCCGCAACTTTTTAACGGACAGGACAGCCACACTCTCAGTCAACGATTTGCCTGCACGTTCCATCACTCAGGCTCGGTGGGAAAGGGACACCACAGGGGTTGGTCCTCTCTCCATTCCTTTTCAACCTGGCCATGCTTCACCTTCCGCCACTTCTAGAAGATATCCCCCACCTCCACCACAGCATATACGCGGACGATATCACCTTGTGGATTACCAGAGGTAGTGACGGAGAGATACAAGATGCACTTCACTTGGCGATTGATAGAATCACAACTTAAGCTGAACAACGAGGATTGTCCTGCTCGCCCCAAAAGTCAGAGTTACTTGTCTATCGACCTAGATCTCCCTACAACAGAGATATTCCCACAATAAATCTGCATGTGCAACATCACCCTATACGAACAGTCCATACCATTCGCGTATTAAGCTTCCGCATTCAGCAGAACGGTGGCAATTCGGAAACAATGCAACTACTACACCATCATGTCTATCAGACTACTAGGCTCATCTCCCGCATCGCCAATAAACAGCACGGCATGAAAGAGGCCAATCTCATACGACTGGTGAACGTCTTTTCCATAAGCAGAATCATTTACGTTGCTCCATTTAGGAAACTTACGCTCACCGACAAGAAAAAACTAAACATAATGATCAGGCGCTGTTACAAGTGTGCGCTGCATCTCTCCATGTCTACGCCCAATGCGAAACTCAATGACCTAGGACTTCACAATACTATAGACGAATTCATTGAAGCTCAACGTATATCGCACTACAAACGATTAGGCCAAACTCGCACAGGACGTCATCTCATGTGCTCACTCGGCATACCTTACGTCTCCCAGTTTGGCCAGAAACTCCCAATTCCTTCGGACATTCGCGACACTTTCGTGATTCTCCCCATATCACGCAGTATGCACCCTGAATATAACGTGGAAAGACGAGTAGACCGCGCCAAGCAACTAGGCAAGCGTTACGCGAAAGCCACGTACGTGGCGTATGTAGACGCAGCGGAATATCCTACGCATCGGGCCATGGCCCTCGCTGTCGCCACCGGGCCGCAGTACATAATTACCGCAACTGGCACCATTCGCGCAAACAAACCAGAAGAAGGCGAAGAAGCAGCCATCGCTCTCGCCTACGCTTCAACCCAAGCATCCTCTATCATCAGCGACTCCAATACTGCCATCCGCAACTTTACCAAAGGTTTAATCTCCCAACCGGCGCTCCGAATTCTCACAAGTACACCTCTGTTACGTCGTCGCCGCGTTGAGATCGTCTGGACTCCGGGCCACTCTGGGCTTGCGGGGAACGAACACGCTCATGACGCCGCCCGAGCTCTCGTCCACCGGGCGCGTCATCCAACAGAGCACCACCCCTCGCGACCTGACGCGGCTGAGCGAGAGATGATGGTCTCCTCGTTTCGCGACAATGCAAGGGACAGAATGCTTACCTTTGGAGAAATCCTAATGTATTACCGCAAGGCCAGACTTAAATACCCACCACCAGACAAGTGCCTTAATAAGCATAAGTCCACTACCTGGCGTCTATTACAGACACGCACTTTCGCCTGTCCGTCACTGTACAGCCGTATTTACCCCGCTATTCACACACCACAATGCAAAACGTGCGGTGCACCTAACACTGAGCTCGGCCATATTATATGGGCCTGCCCCGCAGCTACTCACTCAGTTAAACACAGCACGAACCCTACATTCACAATCACCACGGCTGAGCAGTGGGAGTCTTTGCTGCTCAGCACGCGCCCGGAGGACCAGCTCTGGGCTGTCCGGCTGGCCGAAGACGCCGCCAGGATTCAAGGCCTGGCCACCGCCTGAGGAAGGGGGTTGCAGAGGGGCCCGTCTCCCGGCCCCCCGTCACCTTTGACCCCAGCAGGGACACTTGAATAAAGTTTCTTCTCTCTCTCTCTCTCTCTCTCTCTCTCCAGCGTCGCGACTGCCCTGCACGAGCGCGGCTCACTGCGTTATGTTATCAGACAACGGAGCGCAGCTGTGGTACGTGGCGGCAGCCGCTGGCAAGAAGCGCATTTGATCCAAACAGCGCTTTTAATTTTTATATCGGCTCCTGTACAATAGCATGCTATCTGCTGTCTGACGCCAAATAGCTGGCCCAGGAAGCTCCGAAGAGAGTGAGAGGGGGCCTCTGTATGAAGAAGAGCGCTTAAAAAAATGGCAACCTCTATTTCCAAGTGTTTAGCATTGTACTTCAATGTTTCGTTGTAGACTAGTACCTACCTCCTCATTCAGAGAAGGCGTTGGCTACAGACTTTGTTCCAATGTTAACCGCAACCGTTAACTATACAGTTAGGAGAGCAGTGACCCTCTTAAGCCTCATAACAAAGCTGAAGACGGTCGTGCAGGCTTCGTCAAAATATAATAATTCTAATGGAGCCTGCGAAAGAGGCATCTTCGCGACGACAGTACTCCCCCAAAAAGAGTCACAGTTTTGCCGAAAAAGCGAAGCGATGGGTGCTACAGCGAGAAATCGGAATGTTATACGAAGTGTGGCAGAAGCTTATTCCTAGCGTCTGACTGGCGTAGCTCAATAAAACCTAATGGCGTTGTTGCGCGTCGTGGCGACCGCAGTCTGCGGGTAGCGGGGCCGGTCGTCGTCGCTCCGTCGGGCCAAGGACTAGGGGAGAGCTTTGAGCAAACTTAACGGATTTATTTACATCTTTACAGTGAGTTGTCGAGACGAAGACAGAAGAGAAGAGAGTTGGGCGAGGCACTGCACGCCCTTTTTGTTGACTCCCGTTCCCTAGGTCCCTAGGTTAGGGATCACTACACAAAACAATGCGGACCAATGGTGATGTGGAAGTTCCTCTCAGTGAAGTACCGCCCGTCATGTATGTTCATAGAGGCACAACACTGGCTTGCACATACACACACACCCTTGCCACTAGTCGCAGCGCTGCCATAGAACAGGGAGGGGGAGAGCGGAAGACGCATGGGCGCCTCGACCCCTTTGGTGCCGGCCTCGCTCTGTGTTCCCACGGGAAGATCTTAGCGCGCCCTTTCTAGAGGTTCCAGGTTCGTGGAATCCTCTGGGGGAGCCCTTTGATTAGCGCCGTAGTCGTCTGCTGGTTAACGCGCTAACGATGCGTGGTCCAGGCGGGAGATACAGTGGCGGCTCCATAACCCTCTTTGGCAACATTCCACACAGTTGGCGCCGCTGTCAATCAGTGGGCGCCGTCTCATGTAGTCGGCCCCTGTTGCTTCCTCCGTCCAGCCGTGGCGAGACTATCCTTTTGGCACTAATCCAGCGTGGTGAATGACCCGCTGGGTCAAGGCATAGCTTGATCGCTACAGCGTAAAGAAACGCGGCTGTTATAGCCAGCGAATCAACCTTCGCGGTGAACACCCCTTCGTCGCGAACCGAGCGGTGATAGCAGTGCGTACAAAGCTATGAACCTTCTTATCTCTGTCAAAGTAATGCACGCGCAACGACGCCCGGCCTAGCGAAGAGGAGAGTGCCTGCCCAAGGCAGGCATCAATCCCCCTACATCTTTCCTACTCCCCCTCTCAAAGGCCTTTCGCGCTACGAAAGACGGCTGGTGCATTTCTCCTCTGCTTGAGCAGTGATCATCGGCCGCCCTGACACCCTTCCTGTCGTTTAACATAAGACCCGCTGGGTAACATTATTGATTTGAACTTCACACAAAACCTCACGGTGGCGCAGAGAGAAATATGACAAAATCCCGCCCAGAGTGCCCATATAGCATTGCTACCGCAATAAAGGTGATGAATTCTACATTGCTGTCCAAAGAAGATGGCTGCTGAGTGGAATGCCAGGGAACTCGGTGGCAACGTTCTCGATCTACAGTATTCATGCCGAAGCGTATTCATGATTTCGTACATGATATAGTGTTAGCTTGGTTGCAGTCTTCATATACAAACAACAAAGAAGCTAAAGAGACGACGACAATATGCGCTTTCCACACCATCACTTTTTCGAAAAACTTGGTAACATAAAATGTCGAACAGATGCATTCAAGAAGCATTTCATTAACTGTATTCAAGGCTGTCTTCTCAGCAGTCAACATAGAGTGCCTCCAATGCTCGAACATCCTTCCACTCTGACTACAAAAAAATACCTTGTCGCCAACTACTTACCGATTATTCCTTGTTAAATAAGAAGCATGACGTATGTGTTTGAAATCTCCACTAATACTTATGGGCTATGAGACGCCATGAAGAGGGTAAGGAGGAGATAACAGCCTTTAAGCTTTGCGGTAATTCAACCCACAGTAAAGGCTGTGTGTATCTCTTGTCGATCGAGCCACGGAAGATGCAAACAAAAATGCATATTAAATACGCACCATTTCTTATAGAACCAAAAGAACTTTCACCGTTTTTATGCATTTATCTAGCCAGAAACATCTGTGCGCTCTCGTGGTCGTCTCCTTAAATATACCAAAGTTAGCACAGGATGATATGAGTGTGTGACAAACGTGGTTGATGGGGCATGGCATGAATATGGTAAATTCCCTTCTGAGTACGTCATAAAATAATTCCCCTCATTCGCGTGTATCACATACCTACCCTCAATACCACGGCTTGTGACATGCGGGCATGCGCCATAGGCGATCCACGCCTGCAAATAATTAACACGCGCATAGTCATCATTTCAAATTGAGATGCCGAAAGCGCCCTGAGGAAGCGTACATCTTCGTATAAAGAAGCGCACTTTTGATTGTGAAGCATTTCTTAGTGAACTTTGGCGACTTAGAGCGCATCTATCTATCTATCTATCTATCTATCTATCTATCTATCTATCTATCTATCTATCTATCTATCTATCTATCTATCTATCTATCTATCTATCTATCTATCTATCTATCTATCTATCTATCTATCTATCTATCTATCTATCTATCTATCTATCTATCTATCTATCTTATCTATCTATCTATCTATCTATCTATCTAAGACATTTAGCTCTCCTGGACCGTTTCGATGATGGTATCGATACCAAACTTGATGTGGCATAACATGACTATATGAAGAACATATTTGACTAGTCATAACATGAAAATCATGACGTGTAGGTCACGAATGTCATAATTTACATTTCATGGTCCTGAGCTTTTGCGGTGGTTTCGTTCACATGGGGCCACACGCCCGTACCACGACATTTTCCGCCTCCTTCTTTTTTCGTGCAGCTTCCAACTGGAATGGCCTTTCCGCTGATCTCGCCACCATGATGTGCCACTCAACATTTACACAAAATGTCACTCGTTTCTTTCCCATTTGAATACATTATATTGTTCCTTTTTCTGCCACTGGTTTTCACTTTGTCTTCTTTTTTTTTGGCAAGGTGTTACGCCTGTTAATATGTATACTGATTCTGCACATGTATTATTTTATTTCTGTATTGGTTACCCCTGTTCATACTTGTACCCATCCTGCATAAGTATAACATTTGTTATATGTTTCCCACCCCTTATGTAATACCCCTTCAAGGGGGTCTTTAAGGTAATAAAGTTAAGTGAAGTGAAGGAATGTTACAAAACTGGTATGGTATGGCATGATTGCATGGAGAACACAAGCGATCGACACTAACATGAAAATCATGACATGCAAGTCTTGCAACAACATGACTACATGCCACGCTCATGATTCACTCGTGGCCGTTTCGCTAGCGTCACATATACAAAATTTAGTATTACAGTACGTGAATGCATGACGAAGGTATGTGACTGTAGGGTGCCAACATGACAATCATCAGATGCGTGTCATGTAAAAGCATGACTACATGCCACGCTCATGATGCGCTGGCGGCTGTTTCGCTAGCTTCACTCATACCAAAGTTGGTATTACGGGTCTTGAATGCATGACGAAGGTCTGATACTGGTGCAAACATAATAACCATGAGATGCGTGTCATGTAACAACACGACTACATGCTGTGCTCATGATGCGCTCGCGGCCGTTTCGCGAGCTTCACATGTACCAAACACGGTATTACGTGACGCGAACGAACGACATTGGTAAATGACACATCTAAACATGAAATCACGACATACGTGTCATGTAACAACATGACTACATGCTACACTGATGATGCGCTCACGGCCGTTTTACTCGCTCCACATATACCAAATTTGGTGTTACGTGACGTCAATGGATGACGAAAGTATATGACTGGTGCGAACATGATAATCGTGATATGCGTGTCATGTCAGAACATGACAGCATACCACGCTCATAGCGTGCTCGCTGTGGTTTCGCTAGCTCCACATATACTAAGTTTTGTATCACGAGACGTGAATAGATGACGAAGGTAAACGACACATCCAAACATGATCATCATGACATGGAAATCATGGACGATATCATTTACCTCCACCTCGTAACGTTGAGCTGATATTAAAGTGACATATCATAACTTCTCATTCGTGCTTCACATATAATTGATTCCCACTCTACGTGAAATCTGTCAATATTTTGATGTTGTCACTCATGCAAAGTAGCTCAGCGTGTCTATTAGGCCACGCATGCATCTCAACACACCACAAGCCCGCAACTGCTGCAAGGTGTCACTCTTCTAAAGCAAGACATTTTATTTTCGGTCACAACTTTACAAGTCTGCCACATTTCCTCCTGAAAGGCGGATGCACACAGGTCTGCACCAACGGTCGTGCACTCCAGACTGACGTCATGTGCCGGACGGCCGTTGAACCAGCCTGCAGAAAACATTGCTGACAGCAAGAGCGGGACTATCTCTTTAGTCGCTGAGGAGATCTGCTGCTGCGCTTCGTTCGTCTGGCAGGGGCCTCCCCTGACTTCTTGAGCTGTACTCGGCCATAGGACGTCCAGCTGCCCACGCATTCTACACAGACGGGGACGCGGCTGTTATATGTGCACACATATAATAAACATTGCGTATGTACACCTATGACACCGCTTGCTTTAGTAAGTCGTTGTGCGAATATGCCTAGACAGATTCGTGTGTGTGATGGTGTTTTGTCACTACTTGACGGAGATACGAACTGACGTTGCTGCGCTAAAGTAAATGCCAACATTGGTTAAGATTAGACGTCAGCGTATGCTCAGCATGCCTGGTAATGATTATAAATATTAAAAGCTTTGAAGTCACGTAATGCACCCTTCTACTAAAACTACTACTGCTACTAACACACACACACACACACACACACACACGCACACGAACACGCACGCACACGCACACGCACACGCACACGCACACACACACACACACACGCACACGCACACGCACACACACACGCACACACACACACACACACAACTATAGCGCTATGCCTCGAGGGCGAAGCAAAGAATGCGATTGCAACAAGTAGAAGTGTTATAAGAAGGAACGCTAACCATCTTGCGTGGCTCTACAAAACGTTCGCGTGAATACGGCCGCTCCACTGAGTGAAGGGGCATGCACCTTATTTGTCGCATCAACGTGAAGTAGGCGGTAAGAGCATAGTACGTACAAGAGCAGGAGCCGTCTGCTAATTTCGGTCGAAGTAGCGCGCGCGCGATCTCGCCTTTCTGATCCAAGTTCACTGTTGCTGATTGAGTGACACTGCCCTTCGGCGCCCCTTCATGATACTACCCTTGAAGAACCAGGCTGGCACGTTCCATCCAAGGAGGTTATACTCATCTCTGCTGGGAACGCTCTCGCCTGCAGCCTTCACAAGCTTCCGCTCGCGCTTTAAGTATACGACGCGCGGGGTGATGTAATGTATTCGGACTTAATGCGCCAGATAACGGTGACAGCAAAAATGCGCCTCGAGTTTCTAGACAATCACCGCGGCAGCCTGGATCGGGCGCGCGCGGTGGTTGCACCCGCCCGATCCAGGCGGCCGTGCATTCACTATCGCAATAATAAATTATTAAAGTTAGCAAGGTTTATAGGCTACTAATTGTTCCGGTGATCACGTACGCCGCCGCGTACGCTTGAGAGCGCTGAAATGCATCACATCGTATATATATAAGCGCGAAAAATCGCGCTTTAAACTTCAAAAGAAGAAGGGAAACTGACGTCATGATTTTGTATCTGAACCATTAAGAATACTAAATGTAAATTGCCGAAGTGTGAAAACAAAGCAACTGAATTAGAATTATTGCTTCTTACTCATGATCCAGACTTAATAACACTTACAGAAACATGGTTGCATAGTACAATATTTGATAGTGAAATAATTCCACCTGGTTATAGTGTGCTAAGAAAAGATCGCGAAAGTAAGGGAGGAGGCGTTGCAGTTGTATTTAAAAAATGTCTAGAAGTAATAAGGATGCCAGATATTCCTCAAGTGGAAGGCTTATTCTGCAAAATGTACCACAATAATATTCAATATATTGTAGCTTCCATATACAGACCCCCGACCTCGTCCATTAAAGTCATCAATAAATTAAAAAAATATCTGTGCACTCATGCAAAATCAGGAGCTCGGATAATTTTATCAGGAAATTTCAACCTACCAGATAAGGATTGGACCTCTCTTTCAACTCCTAAGCATAACGATATCATAGGAGAAGCAATGCTCGACGTTGCTTTTACTTTTGATTTATTACATGTTGTTAACGATTTCACGAGGGTGCAGGGAAGTTCGAAGTCAGTACTTGATCTCTTTTTTGTTAGTGGATGTATCAAGTCTTCGGCCACCTGTGAAGTGGTTCCTGGTATTTCTGACCACAGTGTTGTACTGTTGACCCTGGCAAATGGCTCTATGGCACGGAAACAAAAAACGTCATGTTTTCGAATTTTTTTGCGAGCTGACGATACATCAATTATAGATCTCCTCTCCCTCAACTTCGACTCGTTTTTAAACAGTACTGCTGATGTGCAAGGCCACTGGGACTTATTTAAAGATATGGTGAATGAATGTATTGATCGCTTCGTTCTATGTGTTGTTAAAAAGAAGAAAGAAAGGAACCACTGGATTTCTCGGGACACGTTGTATCTCAAAAGGAAGTTAAAACGATTAAAAAAGCGTCGTAGTCTTGTGAATATCGCTGGTATAAACGAAGGGATTTCAGAAATTGCAACTAAACTAAAACACCAAATCCATATTGAGAAACAGCTGTATTATGGTGAAACATTACCAAACTTCATTAAAACGTGTCCTGAGAGATTTTGGCGGAGCATTAAGCCTACATCTACTGAATGTAATGTTTTTGTAGTTGATGGAGTTGATGTGCATGATAGCAAGGTTATTTCGAATGCCTTTAATCAACAATTCAAATCGGTTTTCACCATTGAAAATAATGTTCGATCTTCCCTCATTTGATGCAGAATATCCACCTACACCTGACGTTGTTATCAGTGAGCACGGCATTCTAAATATGCTACTTAAACTCAATGTTAAAAAGACACCCGGACCGAATAGCATTTCAAACGCATTTTTAAAGCGTTATGCCGAGTGGATCGCCAAATATTTGTATGTTTTATATTCAAAATCGCTACACGAAGGTCGAGTACCAGATGATTGGAGGGCCGCCAGAGTCAAGCCTCTTTATAAGTCGGGTAAAAAGCAACTTATCTCGAATTATCGTCCTATTTCATTAACGTCAACTACCTCTAAGCTTATATAACACATAATACATACGCATATCTCTGAGTTTCTTAGTAAGCATAATATCTTAACAAAACACCAGCACGGATTCAGAAAAGGCTATTCAACCTGTACTCAACTTGTCGAAACAATTCACGATTTCGCTACTTCAATTAACAATGGGACACAAACTGACACCATCTTTATGAACTTTTCAAAAGCGTTTGGTAAAGTCTCACACAAAAAATTACTTTTTAAATTAAAGAAAACACTTAAAAATCTGCGCCTAATAAAATGGATAGCAGATTACCTTATAAACCGTAAACAATTTGTTGTTTTTAATGAATTCTGTTCAGAAGAGGCAACCGTTGACTCTGGCGTCCCACAGGGTACGGTTCTTGGACCCCTTTTGTTTTTAATTTTTATCAATGATATTGTGAATGAAATTCCTGTAAAAATCAAGTTGTATGCAGATGATTGTGTCATATATTCTGAAATATCCAATGTAACCGATCAAATCATTCTGAATTGTGCCTTTTATAACATTGTGGAGTGGTGTGATTTATGGCAGATGTCAATTAACTTCGATAAAACAGTATTTATACGAATAACCCACAAGGAAAAACCCCTACTATTTAATTATTCCACCGCAAAATTCACCCTT